TGTGTAGTCCTCATAAAGATAGCAAGGTGTGTGTGTGTGTGTGTGTGTGTGTGTGTGTGTGTGTGTGTGATGTGCGATGATAACTGTTATTTTTTTCACATATTGTTGATGTGACAGCTTTGCAAACTACTTTTTTTTATGGAAAATTACAGTGCCACACAGTTAGTGCATCAATGATAATTTTACCTCACAATCAGGACATGTAATGACTTTGTCGCACTGAATGGACAGCAGGCAGTTTGTGCAGAAGGTGTGGCTACACCAAAGTGTCCGGGGCAGGTTGCCATCTACTTTGTTTTCTGAAAAGAGACAAGAATGACTGCATTAACAGGGTAATTGATGACACCATAGGAACGTTGTAGATTTATAGAAACAGTAGGAATAATCTTGAAATTAACTGCAAGCACTTTCCTACAGTAAAAAGTCTACAACAAAGCTTGAGCTCTGGTTTGAAACTGTATGATCCTGGCATCATGTTTGTTTGTAATTTCAGTTTTGTACAAGATGGAAAAATGTCTTTAGGTTCAGTTCAAATTAAGGTTGTACTGACCATGTGTACTTTACTTGTCACATTAAACGTTTCTGATACAAAGTGGGCCAATTAATATGTATACATCTCAGTTTTAAGAAACGAGGCTCAAAACTAATGTAGTGAAGAGCAGATCACTCACCTTGTCTAATTTTAATTCAATCTATTCTGAAAGTTTATTATTAGAGTTCTTCCTACAAAATCCATCTGTTTTGTAATGGGACAATTTGTGTCATTCTCTTTCATTTGTGTCTTAAGTTTGTCACTGAGAAAACACACTAGTTTTACTTTTAAATACTTTACTTTTAAATGTTGCGCACTGGTGCTGCGGTAGAGTTGGGGGAAAAACAACCTTTTGATACCTCACACCTTCCAAAACCTGGGTTTGATACAACAATCTGCACAGAAATGAATGTCAGGCTGTCTTATAACTGCATTTGACTTAAAAAGATGTTTCTTTTATATTTTTAACCTTACTTTCTTATAATAAAACATGTTAACATGTTAGGTTTTATTATACATTTAACTTTTAACTAGCTTCTGCTACTTTTAGCTTTACTCGATAGCTTTTGGCTATTGCTACAATTAACGTTTACTAGCTTATGTTCCTTATAACAACTTCATTTACATTATTCGGAAAGTTTCAGCATTTTACTATCATCTTACTAACACATATTTATCAAACTTTAAAACTCATAAATTCAGATTTTCAGTACTTTTATACTTTCCGTGCCACTGCGAGCACACCTGTATAATTATCGAACTTGCCACGTGCGAACCATTGCTAGCTAACTGGTAAAACATGAAGTTAAACTGTGGTAAACGGTCTGTAAAGGTCCTACCATGAAGCTTGAATGCTTCTCCACATAATGTGCATATTACAGCACTCGGGTTGACCCCTCCATCCATCATTAACTTCGATACTCTTCTTTCTCCGTCCAGAGCCGAGAACATTCGGTCCGCTTGCTTCTTTCCACGTGACAAACGATGGTGCATTCACTGACCAGAGTGTGAACCGTAGAGGTGGGCGATGCTGCAACATTAGATATTGATCCGAAAACAAGTAGTAAAAGCATTCTTCACATCTTTACATTCTTTTCATTAACTATCTACCTTACATCTACTGAACTAGTGTTGAATTCAGAATCATATGTCTAATTCTTAACAATTTGTAATGACCGATGGGTGTTTGTGAGATCTCCCCCTCCCGGACTAAAATTGTTTAAAAGACAGGACAAAATATAGGCAGATTTTATAGGTAATTGGGAAATACTTTATTACCATATATGTGTGTGTGTAATGAAATGTTTTTCTTAATTCACTGTTATGCTGGATTATATATTTTCTTAAAAACACAAAGTGAACAAAATTATCTTATGAGAGCTAAACATATTTATGGTATCAATGTTATCTATATTTGGATCGATCCGTCCATATCAGGTAACATACCTTCTGGGTTCGGAGAAGTGTTGTATAAAGTACCTCAAACTGATACTTGTGTAAAATCTCAACCCAAAACATTACTTTGGTAAAAATTACTTTTGTAAAAATACTATTTACTTACTAAATGTTAATGTTGAAATGTTTGTGATGCACTAGTCGACCTCTTCAGCTGCAAATACATTTTTGCCATGCTCTTCTTCACACCAGGCTGTCAGATATGTCCTGCTGGAGTGTGATGTGATTTGTGTTATGTACAGGTGTGATGGATGTACAAAGCAATGGTTTGTCAGAATGAGTTTCTTTTTTTTTAAGAGTTCCCCTTTGATGTTTGTTTGTCTGTGTGTACATATTAGGAGTGCAACGATACAGAAAATTCACAATTCGGTTCGGTTCAATACTTTAGACTCACAGCTCGATATTTTTTTGATACAAAAAAAGAGAAATTTACATGCCTTTTTAAACTTGTAATTTATTTAAATTAAATATGAACATTTGTTTAACCTCAAAAGTACAGTTTTTAAATTAAATCTTGCTGCAACCGCAAGTTTCTCAGTGGATCTGCACTCGAAAATGCAGCCTAGGTGGAATAGTTGAACACAGATCCACTGATCCATCAACATACAGCATCTTCAGGAGACAAGCTGATAAAATAAATTTAAAAAATTTGGATTGTTCAATAAAAATGTGTATTGAATGGTTCGATATGCTGGGCACATGTATTGTTGCACCCCTAGTATGTGTATATACAGTGTATATATATATATATATATACACTGTATATACACTGTATATACTGTGTACTGTATATTTCCATATAAACTTCTTCCGATTGTACTTAAAGAAAGGCTGACATTTATTACATTATGCTTTGTTTCCTTTTTTTCACAAACTTTCTAGGACAGCCAGCAAGAAACAGTATTCCCTCAAAAGCTTTAAAGGTTTGATAAATTCCACGAGGAAAGAGTTTGCTTGAATGTATTATTGGGCCTCATGCAAGAACCGTTCATACGCACAGATTTGTTCTTAAGAACAAACGTGTGTGTGTGTGTGTGTGTGTGTGTGT